TCACCTCACAGCGACACACGTCCAGGCGAGCAGCAGAGCCATGCCGTAGGTGTGTGCGGGGACGCTCAGGTGCCCTCAGACCCGTCAGCTGGAGCCGGTGTCGGTGCTCATCCTTCCCCCGTGCCCCGGGGCTCGGCCGGCTGAGGTTGTGGGAGAGCCCGGCTGGCTCAGGCCCGGCCCCGCGGCCCTGGGCCGGCCTCTGCCCGGGGTGGGGACGTGAGGGGTGTCCGCGGCCGTGCGTGTCCCTTGGATTCGCCACCGCCGTTCAGCCTCATCTGACTGTTCCAGGGGGGGAATTAGGGTTTGAAGGGACGATGCGCGGTCGGAGAGCAGTGACAATAATCGAATAAGGCATTAGGGGAGATTAAAAGGAAGAAATCCACTGCTAGTTTTGGCATGGAATTAGCAGGGACCCGTTAGGAAATCTGGAAAAGCTCTGGCATCTTGCTGATAGAGATTATGTTAGAAATGGCCTCAGCTTTTATTATGTTTATAGTTCACATGGAGATTATTATGCAGCTTCTACATCATTAGAACTTTGGCGGGGAGGGGGGGAACCCTACAGTTTACAATTTACTGGGGGTTTAAACCTTTCTCAACAGTTTTCCTGTTGATCAGTTCTTCAGAATTGTACAGATATCTCCAGTATCTAAACGTTCAGATCTGGACATTGAACACTAAAAGTTGGTTCTGGTTCAGATTTCTAGATTTGTTTGTTTGTTTTTCTTATTTTGTTTGGGGTTTTTGTTGGGTTGTTTTGGTTTTTTGGTTGGTTGGGGTTTTTTGGCTTGTTTGTTTCAGGTTTTTTTGGCGGGGGGGTGGGTTTACTTTTTTTCTTTTTTTCTTTTTTTTTTAATACTTAGCTGTTTTGGAGGGTTACACACACGGATTTCACTCAGACTTTAAACCAAGGTATTACCAGGACTTTCTTTGGAACTGGAGCTCCTTACTTTTAAACCACTGCGGTTATATCATTACTAATTTTGTCCTGGAAAGTACTGACTGAATCATTACTGTCCCTTCCTTCGGCAAGTGTGTTAATGTAGTCAGCCCTAAAGGAAAAAAAGTTCCTGCTGCTCCAGCTTTTTCTGTGACCTTACTACTTCTCAAAAAAAAACCAGGGAATGATGTAACACCTATGTCATTTAGCTGCACTATAAACAAATGAACTGGGTCCATTTTCTTTCCATGGTAATACAGAGGGACAAATAAATACACCAAAACAAATTAGTTGTTTTCATAATATTTTTGTTGCATAAAGCTCATTTTCATTACCAGCTTCTAAGAAAATATATTAATTATCAAGAAATGGAAAAAATTGCGTAAAACTAGGAAAATCATGTGTTTATTCAGGGAAAAAAATAGATTAAGACCGACACTGGGGTTCTGTGATTAAGTTTTGTGTTTAAGAGAGACTGTGATGCTACAAAATGAAGACAATTCAATGATGTAATTAAAAATACAGGATACCTTTATCACTGAGTTGCTTTCCCTTTTGTCATGGGCAGTAATGTGACATAATTCACATAGGCGGGTTGTGCATAATGCCAGAGCTCCAGGTCTGCATTTTAACAGTTGGAAACATTAGTTCCTGAGAATCCCTGGAAATGCTCTCTGAATACTCCAAAGATTCATCTTGGGCTGGTATAGCTCAGGATTTTTGTTAATATTCAGAACCATTTATCTGCATTCATTTATTCATAGACAATATTATTGCATCTATGAAAAATCACAGGTTTGTATGAAATACTAAGTGGAACAGAGAAAAGAGGAAAAGGGAATTCTACAAATCAGAACCTTCTGGGGTTATGGTCTCTCTGGTCTTGATTAAAATCTACCACTTGAAACTTTACCCCATTTTTCATATATGTTTGATCTTAGACATGTTTGGGTTATTTGTGTGCATCACTCTTCTCAGAACATTAAAACTCTACTTAGCATGTAAACATCATTAATATCTGTTTTTTGTAAATATGCTTCCATTAATATTAAATATGTAAATACACTTAAAAAGTTTAGAGATATTTTTTCTTTTATTTTTCTGGACCCATTCGATCACTTTATTTACTTCTAAGGGTTCTATATTCCGTGTTTTACCTTGCATCTCCTCTTAGAATACTGTCCTGTTCCTTTTTCAATAAAGGAAAGAACATCTTGGCAAAACATTTACAGGAGTATTCAAATTTCCCTCATAAAACGTGTAACAGCTAACTTTAGAAAGTTAAGCGTATGTTGTGTCGCCATCAGCATCCCCCAGCTGAACAGACCACATACAATTTGTCTTCTTTTAAAAGGTTTATTTTTGTAGCTTCTTTTAATAAACATCTCCTGAGTATTAAAAGGCCAGTGCTACATGGGGCCACCAACCACTCCTTGCTTCTTTTGCTTCACTTTGTTTTGTTGTGAATTATGTAAAATACATTTTCTGTTAATGACAAAATTTTCAATTTCCCTTTGTTCAATAACACCCTGTTCCAAATTAGACTCCTATTGTGCAAAAACATAAACAATTTGTCTTATTCACTAGGAGTACATTTGGATGTGAGTCAGAGATAGAGAAATTTTTTTCCCCCCTTTACCTGGAAATTGAGGGAGTTTAATACATTTGCTTTTTGGACCAAGCTGGGATACATCCCAGTCTGGGATGTTCTCTGGACTCCCCTAGTTGTCTATTATCTCACCTCTGAGTCTAGACCAGCAATTCTTGCATGGCAGCAAGGATCTCCTATGGCAAAGCAGGAAACTTGGGCAGTGGAGTTCAGTCTTTGAATAAATTGTGTAACTTCAGTATGGGATTTCCCTGCAAGAAAATGACATGGTAATATTCTTCATAAGAAATTTGCAGTTAGAGTCAAAGACATTAAGAAAAAGTCTCTAAGCCACTCATAATATTCCAGCCTACCTTCTAAAATGTTAAAAGCAGCCTTTGCATAGTAAAGGCCGTAGAAGGGACTTTACTGTCCTAGAGCTAGATGGTTTCAGGACCTAAAAGAGGCTTTGGACAGATTTTTAAATCTATTTTTTCTCAAACTTACAGTTAATGATTTCTTTTTGTGGATTTGAAACTTTCAAGAGTGAAACAGATATATTCCCTCCTCAGTAGTCTTGAAATTCTCTGCACCCATAAGTTTTGTACTCCTGTATTTGTGTTCTGTTTATGAAATGTTCATACTATCAATTGTACAAATTTCTCTATCAGAGAGGATCAAACCAACAAATTCTGGTTATCAAACCAGTCTTGAGAAAATCAGTTGGAAATTAGAATTTTATAAGTGAACTGAGCTCACTTTATAAAGGAATAGTCATGGAGACAGGAAGAGATGTTTCTTGGTAGACAAAGCTTTCATGAGAATAATGAAAATGTTATAAAAGGCTTGTCAGCAACATGTGCTTTGGGCTTTTAATTAAACTAACAATTTGGAAATTTGTTTAGAAAATGTAAACTGTTGGAAACTGAACAACAGACTTGGAAAAAAGTGAATGGCAAATTGAGAAGTGTGGTGGCAAGATTACACTTTCCAGGTGCTAATTTTATCACCCTGTAGGGTGTCATTAGCACTGAAATGAAAAATGAAATTTCTGATTCATTTGGAAGTACAATTGCTGAAAACTAGATCTTTTGCAACAGCTGAGAACTTCTTGAGAAATGTTCTTGTTTTCTTCTTGATATTGAGGTGTTTTGAAATGAAAATAGTCTGACTGAAGTTTCTGTGGCAACTAGGAACTTAAAACATGACAAATTTGGCACAAAGGCTTACAAGATTGCAATTGATTCTCTCATATTTGCAGTTAATCTGATACCTGCTATCTGTTCAGCCCTTGACAGAGAAATGTGTCTCCCATTTATTTTTGTTCAGCATCTGTAGACTACATAAGAAGAAATAAGATTTTATGCTGTGGATGTGATTATAAATTAACTCAAGGGTCATAAGGAAACTTTATTTTAAAGCTGTCTTTACTTTGTGGAAAAAGCTTGTATTTCAAGGTTTTGTTGGCTTTTCTTTTTATAAGCTTTATTTCCCAGAGAATTAATTATTTTTACAGGGAATATACAGCAGAGATATAAGGAAGATAGTTTTAACATTGTACAGTTCTGTGTAAATGGAATGCTGGCCAGATTGCTATTCCTTCATGCTCATCTTTCTGTCAAAGGACAGTGTTTGCTCTGTTTACCCTTTCAAATGTTTCCTCTGCCTTCCAAAACCTTCAGGGAGAATGTATGTGCATATTGTTACCTGTGACACTCACCCCACCCTGCCACAGATAATTCCAAGTGTGGATGAGTCATCTGCTCACAAATTGCCTTTTTGGTACCTTGTAACGCCAGGAGCTGGAACAGGAGAGAGCAGCTCTCAGAACTGAGGGAACACACTGAGGAAAAGATGATTCTGTCTTACTTGTCCTGTAGAAAGCTCGACCACAGTGAAAAATTTTTTAATTGATACATAGAAATTTATGCCTCTGCATATATACAGATGTATATTCTTATTTTTCATATTAAATGCTTAAACATTTGAGCCTGTATGCATAGGAGACTGAACCTGAGTTTGCTTTAGTGACCAGAGAAGTCAAAGATCCAAACAGAAAGAAACCATAACATTTCAAATCTCAGGCTGATTCTTAGACATTATTCAATGTGCAGTCTAGCATAAACGCTTCAGTAATGGAAAGAAGCTTGTTTTTGGCAGATCTACTGGGCAGAAAATGAAACAAATTTTTCATTAAGCATTTTTGAAGGATATGGGACAGACTGCTGTTCAGTTGTTAGTACTCGTTCCACCTACCGTGCAGATATATAAATGGCATTTCGAAGTACAGATGGAACTAGCTGACATTGTGTGTACAAATCGATACAAGTATTGTGTGGTTACTTGTTTTTCTTAGGATTTCTGTCATCATAGGAATTAAATATTTCTGGGAAATGTGAGGTATCCATGAATCATTCTGTGAAAGCTGAGGGCTCTCTAGATGCTTATTGAGGCATCTACAAACAACCTAAACCAAACTGAAGGACTTAGGTTCCTTCTTTGCTGTACACAAAACAAACCTGGTAGGAGCCACATAGGAATAAACTGTGTAATCCTCCTTTGCCTCAGCACTTGATGCCTAATGATTTTTGGTTTTTTTTCCTTTTATATATTCTCTGTAATTTTTACACATATATTTGAAGCTCTGTAGCCTGTTATTGCATTCATAACTAGTTTTGCAAGTGCTTTCCTTGCCCTTAGCTCTCCAAGATAGAACTACCTTGGTTTTCCTTAGAAACCAATGTTGAAAAATAGCTGTTTTAGACACCTTTTCATCAACAAAGTTCAGTCCCATTTGAAGAGGGTGATTTAAAAGGGGCTTTAACTGGGGGGAATTGCATTACCACTGGTGCTCCTAACTGGTAATTTTTGTCAATTATGCTAATTTACCAAACATAAAACAGTATTCACCCTGTGGGGGTTGGGCTTTTGTGGATGTTTCTATATCTGGCCCTGGCGATAAAGTTTCATTTGCTCGCATTTTTGCCACGTGCCGTTCCAGTCATCTCTCAGTACAAACAGACAAGAGGGCAGCAACTGTTTCCTGTTCTGAACTGCAGAGGGAAGGAATCAAGGAGTGACAGCAATACTATCTAACAGTCTTTGTCATCATGTGCCTCTGTGTGACTCAGTCACCTGTTTTTTATGCAATATCACCAACAGCAGAGTGGATGGTAGAGTGATCATTCCATCAGTGCACCTTTAAAGCCTTGTTGGCTCTCCAGATCATTTCTGTAAAAAAAATTACCAATTTTCTTATGGTGTTTCAGAAGTATTTCAAAGACAGAGCTGTTCTAAAAAAAGGATGTTCTCCATGAGAAATGGAATTGTAGAGGATTCTCAGGGTCTGACTGAAAGCTTGCATAGTTTTGTGCATTTGTATGTAAGGTCTGAGATAATGTGTGCTGACCTAGCTAGGTCATGGAATAGAGAAGATGTTGAGAGAGATTGAGCTGGAAACAAGTTTCAAACGATAGCCTTGCAAGCAGACCAGATGTTTTGGAGAATCTGAACTGTGAAAGATGCATTGTAGCAAGACCAAGTGGGGTAAAATAATTGGTGTTAAAGAATAGGTGTTAGAAGTATTAGCAGCATTATGTGGCAAACGCTAATAGGTTGAAAAACATTTGTAAGGTGTTGTAACCTGGAAATAAGTTGGCTTCTGATGTGATGGCATTGAATGTAACATCTTAAATATCTCACCCTTCTATGAGACTGATAATGGAATAAAACCTTTTAAAGCGCCTCTCAGTTGTCCTGTTTCTGTAGGGCTGGGTTAAACCAACAGCTTGCAGAAAGCAAAAACCTCATTCACTAGGTTATGTTAATTGTACTCAGTAGTAACCATCCATTATTATTTCAATTTAAGTAATCTTTACAGAGCCATTCACAACTAAAGAATGAGGCTTAATGTTAATTTGTCAGAATATCTGAGGATAGTCATTTACAGTAGGGGAGAAACAGGTTCTACTCCATATTGTCTGTTTTTCTGGATCTTACATAAACTTTGCTGTCCTGACTGTATTGGCAAATGTCCAAGTCCTAATCTAGCAGAAACAAGTTCTCCTTATGTCACTGTCAACCCAGAACACATTGATTCTCTGATTGTTTGGACAAGTTTCTGGAACAGGTGTAAGGTACAAGCTCCACATGAGAAGGAAATCCTTCTTTAGCAACAGCACCTGGGGTAGGAGGTCCTGGGAGCTGCAGGCTCCCTGCACCTGACTTGGCGTGAGGCTTAGTGAATTCAACAGTCTTAATAGTAATGCCTGGGATTACATAATTTTAATAATGGCTACAATGCTTTCTTATCACTGAGTGGGAACTCTTTGATGAGAGAGAGGTGGTTTCTAGCCTGATACCCTTCACATTTGAAGAATCAGTGAACACAAGATTCTTAAGTCTCAAGATTTCTGCTTTTTTTGCAAGTCAGTCCTTTTTTACATTGCCTGGAGACAATGCTGAGTCCAAATGCACAGTGTGAAAAAGCCCAGTAAATCTATGCTGTTTTTCTCTTAGTTGTGTGGTAATAGTTAAATGGGTTTCTATTCAGCCATGTAGGTAGTGGACTGGCAAGAATGTACAGACAGAGCATAGACACATTCAATATCTTTGATATCAAGATAAAGCTGTCTGGATAAATATGTGCATGGCTGCACAAGATACATAAATTAGACAAATTATTTAAGTGATTGTAATGTGCTGGTTAGTATTCTTTCCTTGAGCACATCTTTAGGAACCCACATTTAGAAATTAGCCTAAAGGAACAAACCAACTTTCAGATGTGTGTTTAATAAGACTTTGCCAAAATAGTTGGCAAAACTAATGAGGTTTGTTTTATTGCAGAGATTTAGGGTTAAATTTAATTTGTTTTCACATAAGTTTTGGGTAAAGGTAACTTTTCATAGACTTACTCCTGAGATATGGATATTTTTCTACATTATTTTTCTTCCAAAAATATGATTGCAACCCTTTAACTCATTTTAAACCCAAAGGAAGCTAAAAACTTAACTTCCGATTTAATCTTCAGTGGGTTTTGTTTGTTTGCTTTTGCACAAGGCTTAAAAAAAGGGGTGTGTGTGTGCAGCTTTTTGGTCTCTTACTCAGAGTCACTTAAACTCCTGCATTGCCTGGATGACGTCTAAGTGTCTATAGAGAATCCGTGTCTCTTGGAATCTCATAGTTCACTGATTTTTGGGTTGTATGTTAACTAATAAAGTTGTTAATCTATTGTAGGGGCTTTGAATAAAATTAACGTGTTAGGTCCAGAATTCCTTAAATATATAATTTATTGTACTAAATATATTAATATTTCACTCTGGAGTGACTGTGGAATATGTTGATAACCACTACCATCCCTTCCAGCTCACACTCCTTGACTATGATCACAGACTGTATTTATGCCACTTCCCTGTAGATACTCACCTAAGCACTTGAGCAAAATCATTTCATCTGTATTTGTCTCTGTTTTATATATTCTCTCAAAAACTATTATATAATTTAAATACATAATTTAAGTGCATAAGTTCCAAAGTCGTGTGCTTGTATTTCTGTGCATTCAGGAATGTGCCATTAACTGGTACTCAAACAGAAAGCAAGAGCCTCTTGTAAGTTGTTTGGCAGTCACGAGTTAGACCAGCTTTTAAATATTGCATACTGTAGAGCACCATTTATACATGATCCGTTAAGATAAATAATTTGGTAATTTGGTAATCCTTAAGGGTTTTTTCTTCTTTTCCTTGATTTCACAATATTGAAATTTCTTTTACTTTCCATATTGGAGAGTATTTGAAATGCTTGCATGCAGTACCCCATCTGACATCTGAGTCTTTCCCTCTTGTTGACTGTTTGGATTGAGATAAGCCACTTAAGTGTCTCTTAACTGGGTTCATTCCCAACAGTTGCCTGAAGTTATTAAAAAAGATTAGGTGTTTGTGTTATAGCAAGCAGAAAGATGTTCATATAGTGCTCTGTATTAGTAAAAAAATATTACAAAAATATTTTATTCTGAAATTTCCTGTTTTAATGTCAGGAAATACAACAACAACAATAAATTTTGTATTAAATTAATTATAGATAATTATACTTAAATATAATTATTTGTATTAAAACCAATACAAATTACATTTGTCACACATTTTCCCTGTTGAGTTAGCACATTTTTCTCTCTTTCTACCTTAGTACTCACCCAACCTGCATATTAATAATAATAATATTGAATGGACTTTTTACTTTACATCAGTCCTAGCATCCTTGTGAAGGACTGCACAGGGGGTGTCATGGCCCATCAAAGGCCCCCCCAAAGGGTCCCAGACCCTGCACCAGAGATGATGCAGCAGATCCTCAGTGTTGCAAGGGACAGTGTCAAACTGGCCCCTGCAAGGGAGGCACCTGGGCATTCCCACCTGGCCCAAACATGTATAAATCCACTGGATTCTACACCTTCTGTCATGGAGGTGGTGATGGGTGGAGGGGAACTCTCACCACCCAGACCAGATGGAGGGAAAGCACAAGAGGTTGTTGGGACCCCTGGAAGGGTGAAACACTCCTACCTAACCCCTGTCACTCTCCCTGTCCCCCCTCCACACACCTCTTTTTCTATCTCTCTGCCTCTTTTACTATTAAATAAAATATATCAATATTTTTCGCCATCAACATCTAACCCTGCTTGGTTTTAATCACGTTTTTTGGATATTTTTCGAACCTTTCTGGGTCTGATCTGTTTCATTCACAGAAACTTCGTTTCCCTCTCTCTTCTGTGTTTAAACCAGTTCATAACAGGCATTTAAGGACAATTTTTACAAATGTACACAGCAAAGTCACTAAAACTGTTGTGTTCTCTAAGAGGCCTAATGACTTCTGTTAGAAAACAAATGTAGAACCTTGCATATTAATATATGCTGGTTTACTTGCAATGTAAGATCGGGCAGAAATTTTAGCATTATGAGAAATTAATATTTTAGCGCATCCATTTGATAGTCTAAAATATTTACAGATAGGTAAGCAAAAAAATTGACTGTAAAATACCTCAGGAGATTTACAAAGACAGGCTACATTTTCCAAGATATTTGGCTAGTTAATCTTTTACAGCACCATAACTTTGACGATCATCATCAAGACCCTTGCAAATAAAGAAATGCAGACCAAGCTTGGGAAATCTGATTTGGAACATGAAATTTAATCCAGTGCATTCTTATTGATAGACTTAAGGGAGGAGAAATATAATCCAGAATTCCTGGTTTTGATGAACATCACAAAGGCATGGGAGTGATCTGCTCTGTGCAGAGAAGCACTAGACCTTGGGCACAGAGCACCTGAAAGAGCTGGGTTGTGCCTCAGAACCTTGAGCAAAGACAGTTCAAGTCAGCAGTTGTGTTGTGCCTCTCACAGCAAGACCAATATAATGGTTATGACTACTTACAACAACCAAAAACCCCCACATGTGCTTTTATCTGAGACTGTACAGTATTAATTAGCACAGGGAGTGGTTACAGCATAAGAATGCACAGTAGATTTTCCAATCAAACGAGGCTATAGTTCATTAGATTTATTACAATGCCTGCTATCAAACCCATGGTTTCATGGGATTGTGCCCCTCTGTTCCCAGTACATTCATCTCCTGCTTCACCATTGATAATTTTGCTTTCCATAGCCTCATTCAAACTTGATAATAGTGAAAAAGCCCATCAATTTAAAATTAAATCCATCTCAAAATATATTTGCTTCACCTAAATGGTTTCTATTTCCTCCACTATCTTTGCAGTATTGTCTTTATTAATTCTGGTATATAGTAGGTAATATTTTTATATAGAACCATATAAGCACACAATCTTATTCAGCTGTGGCATCTTTTCATATATGTGCTAATATATGTAATACATAAGAGACAAAACAGTTTAGGCAGTGGACAAAAGCCATTATATTATAGGACAACTGGAAGAAAAATAACAGTTTAATGACAGCTATTTTTATCTTCTTTAT